TTTGAATTTCCGCCATTTTGTTACTAAAAATAGCACAAAATGGCGGGAAACTCAAATTTCAAAACGCTATATCTTTTGAGTGGATTGGCGTATTTCAAATTTTTTTCACTTTTGTACATCCTTGTGGTGAGCTCTTTCAGAAACCTTCATAGATATCGTATAATACTAAAAACAAAATTTGGAGGGGACTTTGTGACGTCATTTTCCGGCCAAAAATGCCAAAATCTGAAAAAAACAAAAAACATACGATTTTAGGGAATGGCGAGTTCTATATTGATGCAAATTTTCAAGTGAATTGCGTCAAAACTAAAAAAAATGAATGAATGAAGAGGAGCGTTTTTGATGTCACAAATGCCCAACGTGTTATAAGATAAACACATTGAATTGAATTAGTTTTCATTTATAGTGTGTTATTTTTCATTTAATTTTATTTTTTATTTAATAGCAACGAGAAATACAAAACTAAAATTTCAAATTTGCCTCTTTTGGGGTTCAGTAGGGATGATCCTATTTGGAGGAAAAATATTTTCTGCTTGTACCTACAAGTATTGCATCCAGATTAACTTTAAGATGAGCCTATCTCGCTATACATAAATGAAACCAGAAAATAGCTTCCAGAATTAAGATACTGAACTTAGACCTAGTGATCGGGTTTTACCACACCTAATGTGGGAAACATTTCACGTGCATTATCATCTTCTTGTTCTTCCTTAGCAAAAAAAAAGCAATATTAAAGTAATCTGAAAGGATTAAGATTTCAGTGAGATTTGAAAGTGATCAGGATCTTCGCAGTAGAATGCACAACCTAAACGGACGAACATGCACAATAACATGCAAGTCATGCTTAGGCTGCTTAAGTAACTAACCTTCTCCAGCTAGCCATTGCACTTAGTCCAATGATATTTTATATTCTCTGTAAGCGGTGGTCAGCTCGAAAGCTCTGCTCCTCTGTCCACCGTACACTTCTGCAAAAAGCCATTTATTTCCGTCTGGCTATTTCCCCTAATTTCACCTAACTTGTAAAGTAAATGAGATTTAAAGTGTAAATAAAGTTGAAAGTGGAAAAAAAGTTGAAGTCACTGAACTATTCAACCGCCCATAGCTAGGTGTTCATTCTACTGCGAAGGATCATGTTCACTTTCATAATTTAAATAAAATAAAAATAAAATAATATTCTTGATACCAGAAGACGAAAAATTCTTGACGTTTGATACTACGTTTCTGAGTTCAATGTACTGACTATACCAAGAGAGGATAAAGGGGCTCTCTTGACTATACTAAGCAAGAGTTTCATCCCCTGATCCGGTCATATAATTTGTCTCGCATTTTATATCGTCTTGTGTAGACAAATCTAGATGCTCATCTGGTGGGTTGTTGTAAGGTGTAGCAATTTCTTGGCAAAGCGTTTAGTTACAATAAAGCCACACTGACGTGAGCTACTTTAGCAATCCTTGGTCTTCCCCTCTCTTTTTTAAATTTATTTTTCCTTCCAAGATGATTTTCCCTAACCCTCGCTTCTTTTCAAATGACCAAAAGCACAATAACAGTCACGTATGTCTTAGAGCAAGTCCTGAAGAACGATCTCATTATTATAAGACTTAAATATTCGAACTTCGCCAGTTTGAAAGTCCCAGGCTTCGATATCGCCTGGTATTGCAAATTAACCGTTCCAACTTATCTCGCTTAGTGCCGGATCCGGGAGCGCTAGGGGGTGGGCTAGATCCAGACGACACCCTCAGAAGCGGTTCTTTGTAAACGGCACTTTGGCCTCTGGAGTCAGCAAGCCTACAGAAATTGCTGACATTAAGCTCACTGAGTTTGCCCTGTGTACACAATCCAGGGTGAATAATCTTCTGATGCACTTGCGAGTTTTGGGCACTCCTTCTGCGGCACTTAAACAGCCGGTCTCGTAGATTGCTGTCAAAAAAGCTGTAAATCACTGGGTTGGCGCACAATTTCCCCAGCGCTAAGAAACAAGCCAGATCACGGAAAATTTCAAAACTTTTCCTCTTGGGCTGCCCGACGGTTTCAAGGGCGTAAAGTGCCGCCAACGGGGCGTAAGAGAAAATAAAAGTTGCCATGACTATTAAGTTCATGACTACGGATTTGCGCTTGGCTAGAGGAACCACGTTGGAGCGGAGAGAGCTCGTGAGCCTTCGGTCAACGTTGGCTGGAACTTTGTGTGCCAATTCAGGCAAACCTGCTTTGGTTGAGTGAACTGAATCCGGCTTCAACAGCTTACTTACTACCGCAAAATAAGTGATTGTCATGATCATGATCGGCAGTAGGAACACCGCCCATAGTTGCACGAGAGAGAAAAGTTTGTCTTTCCAGGGTAAAACAAAGTGCTTGTCGCAACTAAACAACAAAGCTCGCGGCTGGTGTTTTGATCCCAAAAAGTAATATAAGACAGGGTTAGCGAACAGCAGCGCGTAACACCATGAGAACACGCTCATGTACCGCGCTTGGCGGCGAGTGATTTTGGAGAGAGGACACAACACAG